TGGCCATATTGCCCAGCCCTAGTTGTAAGTGGACTTGGAAATAAATGATGTGTTAGTTTCATTTTAATCTGTCAAGATTTGTTATAATATATGCTTCAATGCGGGATATAATGTTTGTGAGATTAATACATGCTATATATTTAAAGTATACTAAATTCGCGACAATATTATAACCCCGACAGAATATAACGATGAAACCAAGACATTGTATATCGATTTAAATAAGCAAAAGGTCTAGATCATTATTGCAGTGGTTAAAATGTTTCTGGTATATGTTTGACAACATTATTTTAAGCCCCTAACTAATGCAGTGAGTAACTTTTCATCTATTAAACAAACCATGTTGGAAGACGTTCCCATCTACATATTCCAGGATGACAACGCCACGATTGTGAAAGAGTGATTCAGTGTATGCACTCTAAAAAGAAAGAAAAAAAAGGTAAAAATAGGGCTCAATGTAGTGTATTTAGTTGAATTATTATTTTTTTTTTGTATTTATTTTTCACAGATGCGCAAGGTTGTTGAAACAATGCACAAAATAATCAAAGCTAAAGGTGGTCCAAATTAATTTCTGTGTATAATCAGAGTATATATATATATATATATATATGTGACGTAACTTCCGATTCTTGTGAAATTGGCCTATCATGAGGTTGCCCTACAAATAAGACATATCCGTCAGTTGGACTGAATGAGCTGTATAGATTTTCCTAATTTTTCCTTTTATTTTCAGACATCATGAGAATAACATAAGAGCCTGTCGCCGATATATCGGTATCGGCGAATATGCCACCGATATGAACATTTTTTTTTACAGAACGTATAACGCAGATAAAATGCTTGAAATGGTGTAATTACTTAGTTGAGCTCCATTGTTTGCTACTGGCGACCTGGATGAAACACTTTAAAGCTTAAGTCTATGGAAAACCATTGAAACTTTGAACGGCCATATCGCCGTAACAGCGCGGCGAATCCAGCGATCCCGGGGGACTACCGACACGCAGAGGGTGGCGTTCGATAGGGCTCCTCGAGCTGAAGGGATCCCCCGAATTTGGTGGAGATCCGCCAGCGCGTTCGCGAGATAGTGACACCAGCCAACACTTTCACTTCAGTAAGGATGTCTCTTGGTCAGGCAGCAGCATTCAAGTGTGGTCTTATTCGACCGTAAGTGCCCGGCGAAGTGGACTTCACATGAAATTCCGCCATGATTCCAGTTCCAAGGAAACGTACACGTTACATTCAAAGGGCATTAAAGTGCGCGATATATTCTCTGTTTATGTATATACTGTATTCTATATATAGTACCAGTCAAATGTTTGGACACACGAATGGGAAAGTGTCCAAACTTTTGACTGGTATTGTACTACAATATACACAAAGAATATCGGCCGATATATCGATATCGGCCCCAAAAAACCCATATCGGTCGGGCTCTAAACATAACGCTTGGCATTTTAATGTGACATGTATGTATCATGAACTATGGTTGAACACAGTTTATTTTTTTGCGATAATCCAAAAGCCTATGGAAAAGGGAGCCAAAAAGCCTTTTGTCGAGGGAACCAGTGTGATGCTAACAGCCTATTGGCCTACGTCATAGTTCCACCACTTTATTATCAATTGTTTAAAGAATAAACAAATGCTGTTAATTCTGTTGCCGGACCCTGACAAATTGCCAAGGCAAAGCTCTCAGTTGGCTGCTGACCCTAATCCAAACTAAGGGCTTCACACTGTTCATGGGCACTCTAATAAAAGCCTGTTTGTTCCTGTCAGCACTCCATGCACAGCCCAACTGGGTGGTTTTAGAAACCCTTCTTTCAGATGGGGGCTGGATGACTTCTTTGACAACATTGACCATCTGCCTACACATCAGTGTAGGACAAAACTATCCCAGCCTCTAGATAAATCAACAGAAATCCTTCCCAGAAGGACCATAAAGAATTATATTAAGAAACCCTCTAACATGGTTTGTCAAGACAAAAACAACATTCCTTACACTGCCAAAGAAGGTCTACAGCACAATTCCGCAAGAGATGCACAGAAAATGTTACACGCATCACTCCATAAACAACTCAAAAACCTATTTTAATTATGACATGCCAACACTCAAATGACCAAACAGTCAAGATGCCAGGTCTGACATTAGCAAAAATGCAATAAACAACGGATCTCTCTCATCACAATGAGTCCATGCATCAATACTACAGACCTTGTAAACTGACAGGAAAGTAGTCTTTATACCAGCTGGCATAACTTGCAAATCAGGTATGCAAAATACAGCACAAACATGCCATTGTGCAAGACGAGAGTCAGTCTGAGACAAAAAAAAAAAAATTCAAACAATGCCTGTATTATTCAAATATAGCCAAAACCGCGAGCAGACACAGGACATGATATATAAACAACAGTTTTGACTAAAATGAGCGTATTTATGTATTTATTTGAAGCTTCACAAGTAAAAGCAAATATTGTACATTAAAATAATTGATATTACAGTCAGGTGGCCGTTAGTAAATTAGACATTTGCTCATATTCTCTTGACGGAGGAGTTTATGTCTCAGCGCAGGCCGGGTACAGCTGCGGTCATCCTACCAGCGTCAAAACCCCTTCTCAAATTAACAACATACCCCGTCAAACACAAGGGGTCGAATAACGGCACTTCTCAAACTTCAACGGCCATCTGGATATTCTCTGGAAATTCTTAAAAATGTATGAGGTAAACTGGAAAGCGACACGGACAGCTCAACTGGTCTCGAGCTTGTCAATGCTAAACTGGGACGATTCCTCTGTTCTAGTGTCACAGAGGCAGCGCTAGCTCAGCAGCTCAAACAAACAATGCCAAACTGTACAAAGCACACCTCTCCAAAATGGACGTTCATCCAATATGTTTCGGATACGTGCAGTTCGTGTAGCATTTTTACCTGGAAATCACGTTCTTCGTTGAATCTAGAGAATCTGTCGGCCATTTTCTCTCCTGTTCGCCTCGTCTCCTGCGTTCCGACTTTCTCTGTTGACCGAAACGCCCAGTAAAGTAAGCGGATGAGCGATAGACTAATGGCAGCGCGCCATTGTTGATTGATGGGCTGGCTGTCCAATCACCTGAGCGCGTCGTACTCCGAACGCATTGGCTCTGGAATAAAGCATTTTGAACCACCGCTGGAGATTGTTGTTCACAGTACGAATGGTCCAGACTCACGACTACCGTGCATTGATCGCAGAGAAGGGTCCTGGACACTTTTACAAAATGTTCGCATTCGCTTTAAAATGTGGCTTACAGTTGCCTAGTAGGCTACTACTATTTTATATAAACCTTCTAAACCTCTTTTTATGAATGACCGAATAATAATTAAAATTCAGTGACAATACACATTTTACTCAGTTTGCGTAAGATATTTTTGTTTTATTGTTTTACGTATATACATATAACATTTATCATTCGTGTGATTCTTTTTGTCAGATGTCTTTTAGTACTTTGAGGGCCCCCTCTGGTGCCAGAAAACAACAACAACAACAACAACAACAAAAATATCGGCTCACAAGCTTGCCAAAGTAAAAAAAAAAAGACAACCTTTGAATCAAATGGAAATCTCTTGACTCTCAATTTTCCAGCCCATATGTCTGTAGCTAATATAAAACTGTATTAGCTAAACAATAATAATAAAAAAATCATTAATGTAATAGTATCGTATATGACACATCCAACATTTCTCCAATAAATTTTGTGAACTGTTATTGTACAAGGTATTTTAAAAAGGAGTAAACAAGGAGTAAAATTGGGACAGAATCTATCTATAAATGTAGCATTAGTACTAAGTTAGTATACATCATAAAAGCCTTCAATGTACAGCATAAACTGTAATAGATATAGTCATTCAAATAAGCCAAAAACTGACAAATTACATATAGGCCTATGCAGGTGTGTCAAATACTCAACCCACAAGAACAGATGACAGGAGTATTTCTCGTATATAATTTTATGGCATCACCAGTTTTAAAAGGCATGACTGGTGTGGCTCAACAAATGTCATTCAAATAGCATTGCCCATAGCTAATCAAATATTTTTAAGTGATTCTTCCCACAGCTGAAAGGCAAACAATTGATCATAGATCAAATTCTACATAATCCAGTCCATTTCTTGTATTCTACCCAAGATGGACAGAGCAGAGGAAACTGTTACGTGGAGTTGGACATGAGTTAAAAACATCTCAGGATTCTCAGGCTGGCTGACTGTGGCCCATTTTCAAAATTATATTACTTTCAAGTTTTTCCACATCCTCTCATGAGATATTTCTTGCTTTTGTGCAAACGTATACTGAACGTGCATGCCAAAGTACCAGTAGATGGTGCTGTAGACCAAAACATTGGCAATATACTACTGAAATCTGAAAACGTATGTACAGATGAATGATTGACAATAGTTATTTTCCTAAAAATGAAATTAAAATGAAGACTTAAAAAAAGTTCTAACTTTCTAAAACTAAAAAAAAAATGTTTAGTTTAGTTTAGCCTCCTCTGCACAGTTTCAAATGCTGTGAGATAAAATGGAATAATATAATAATATGGAAATTTCCTACATTTTTGAGCAGGTATGAGTGGGTAAGTCGCATTTACATTATTTCCCATTAAATATACCTCAAACACCTTTATGTAGGCGAATAAAATAAAACCAGAAAGTTTAAAGTAAAATTAAAAGTACAATAAAAAGTTTAAAGTTTTCTACATTGAGATCTTATATGTTACTAATTTATCATGGCTAAAAAGTATGTTATGGTTGCTCCACATGCATTGTACTGTACAATTTTAAGAAGTATTTTATTGCATTTTCTCAGTTTAATTTTAATTAATTAAAATTCACAAAACAGTTTTGATACAAACAGTCAATCTGGCCATTTAACGTCAACCTCAGCTCGGCTTTAAGAAAACTTTACTTTCAAAATGAATCTTCAGCCGTGATGTCACATTGGTGTGTCTGAAAATCTAGTGAACTGCCTATCTAGACAGCCGCGTGAACGCGTATGTGATGCCCAAACATGCTGTCTATGTATGCAGCTTACTAGGTTTTGACATGCATCCTTCGTCTTTCCGTCTCAAGCGATCAGAAGAGCTCGACTCCGTCCGACGCAAGACCGTTCTCCTGTCTTATTTAATACAATTAAGGTAAGTCCCCTTAACTTTACTGAATTACCTTTATAGTGTCCGTCACGAACGCCTGTCTTTAATGGGCACACCGGTGAATTCACCGAATTCTGTCTCGGAGGATTTTCTCTCTTGATTTTGTCCGAAATGGCGGAGGCGCGGGTGGAGGAAGTTAAACGCTTCTGCCTTTCTTCGTTTAAAAATGTTTTAGCGCTTTACCTTATGCAAAAACTCACGAACTTTCAAAAGATTGTTAATATAATATATGTCTAAAAGCCAATTAAGAAATAAAGTCGTTGTGAAAAGGTTTTTCGTGCACAAATCTCTTAGACATGACGAGTAATGTGTAAGACAAAACTAGTTTTGTTTTTCTCCCTATTATGTGTGACTAATTAAACAGACATCATATATACAGTCGCGCTATTTTAACAGTTATCTTGAGTGTGCGAGCGTGCGTGTGCAAATACAGTCCATATCCCCTTCATGTACAGTATATACATAAGTGCAAAAGTCTATTATTACGTGTTTAATGTCTGTCCTTGAAAGCTTTTTATGTAATGCGATGGAAATAGTGTCTCATAGCAACATCCTTTTATGTTTTGTGTGTCTCTTTGCTGCAAATGTGCAGAGGGGCCCCTGACAGGTATTTAGGGGGTCTGTTTGCAGTGGGCTGAGCAGCAGGTCCAGATCTTGCAGGCCTCCGGTCCCTGAGTTTAGACTTTAGAGCAGGACTTACTCAGGCCAAAAGCATCTTGTTCATGTGTGGGGGCGTGGATGAGTCACTGCCTAAAAAGTCTCAGTGTGTGTGTGTTTCAAATTTCAATCTGTTTTCTTTTAAGGCATGATATTACAAGCAAAACTATTGTTTTTTTTCATGCACTGGTCAATTTTGAAGCTGTTTTGGTTTTATAACACATTATTTCAGACTAGCAGAAAACAAAGATCCAAAATACACATTTAAGTGTTTAATTTATTACATTTCATATATTTGCATCTGTAAATTTCAATTACTGTAGATATCTTGAAAGGCATTTTTCTTAAAATGTTTTTTTTTTCCCTCATGCAGAAGGCAGAAATCTCCACTTCAGTAGTACTCACATACACCAAACTTTACAGTTTTATAATCATATAATAATAAAAATATAATTCGCCTGATTTATATGAAATTTCATTCTTAAAAACATGGTGATTTTTTTATTTCCTGTTGACAGTATTTTCTGATTTATGGAGTGATGGAACTAACATGTCAACATAATTAATCAGGAACATTGAACCTTGATTTATCCAATTTTCTGTTTCTGTTCTGGAAATGTGTGCAAATTAGTGCACTTTTAATAAGATATTTCCTAATTTGCATATGTAAACATAACATTTCAGAAAACTTATCTTAATGTAATGTGATTTAATTAACTGGGAAAGTAGGGTGATATTTATTAATTTTACCCTATTCACCTGTAGTGTCTTGAGTTGGTTTTCATGCTTTAACCAGTTTGCACTTTCAACCGTCTTTTTGAATGTGTAAAGTGAAAAGGCAGCAGTTTAGGAATTGATATATAACATTTATAAGTGTTAGAGCATCATATACAAAACATACACACATACCCAAGTGTCACCTTTTCCAACAAAACCGCTGTTTTTCCACTTAGTACCTTTTGTCTATGAAGTGATAAAGACTCTGTAATGTCTGGTCTTACAAACACACACATAGTCATTGTGAAGTGGACATACCCTTTGGTTAAACCAATGTTTTTTGTCACACACTTCAGTTGTAAAAGGCTGTCATTATACCTCTTAGCATGTGTGTTTTCCTTCTCGGCCTGTCCCTGGCCTCAATACCACACTGTTCCTCTTTGAGCTGCCCAAAACATCCACATTTCTGTATACCATAGATCGTTGAATCCACTGGCTGTCATTTTGTGCTTTCTTCCTCATCTGCCTGTAGCTGTGTTCTCACTTCTGCAAAAAAACTTTCGACATTTAAAAAAAATGCAGAACCTGCATGTCTACTTTTTTTTTAACTAATAATTGCAGGCTGTGAGTTTTTGATACGTTGATGAAAAGTTAACGTCCGATAACGAGTTTTTGTCTGAGCGTTACAAGCCAAACCACACCATTTCCCTGAACTGTTGATTAGAAATGACAGATGCAGGGTGCGGCTTAACTCCCGGTTCTGTAGTAGCCTGAACATTAATTGACTGTGACAAACGTGCCTAGAAAAAGTTTGCAGTGTGAAATTGGCTTTGCTAGTTGTGTTTTCTTGCTTTTTGTGGCTTTGAATAATATACATATGTGTGATTATAATAATATACATATTTGTGAATAATACACAACCATTTAAATGTAGGGATGCACCGAAATGACAATTCTTGGCCGAAGCCGAAACCGAACAAAATGAAACACTGGGCCGTCATGATGTGTTTGTGTGAATGTTTAGTGTTTGTGTTTAGTGTTTGTGTGAATGACACTGTGCACCTTCTATATATGTTATTATTTAAAAGCTGCTTGCGATGGGCTTTGGTTCATCATGTGACTTTCTCATCACCACCTGCATTTGGTGGTTATCAGTGTATTAAAAAGGTACAAAACAGATTTCAGTACTTCAATAGGTTGGTATATTAACATTATATCAGTTAATGAAATTATGGTATTTAACTGTAAATTTAAGTTAAAACCGTAAAACTTAAAACGTTGCTACCGTATTTTTCACGGTAAAATTCCGGCAACCAGAGCTGCCGGTTTTTTATCGTAAATTTTACAGATTTTTTTTTACAGTGTACAACAAAAAGCAGCCTTGCTGAGCAAAAGAGCCTTCTTTTAAAACATTAGAAAATATTACAGATCCCAATTTGAACATTACAGTATGTGTGAATGTTATAATAAATGCATTGACAGAGCTGTTGAAATTATTATCATTATTATTGTCTTTTTATTTTATTTTACAGAACAACAGTAAAAATACAATAGTAACATTTATGATGGAGTTCTTGCTTTTTCTCAACTTTTATTTTGGCGGAAACGCGCAGGAAGACAACAGCAGATTTATAAATGAGTCTCATTACGGATACGTCGCACGTATCGCATTGTCACGTGCCTTGTAAAAAAAATCATAAAAATGTGACTGAGCAACTGAGGAGTAACACTGTTTCAGCGCAGACTTTCCTCGCGCTTTGGACTTTGAACCCTGGTTAACGAGCAGATAGCACCGCAAGCTCTTGCAGCGCTGTCAGAATACATGCAATTCGTGCGTGTATTAGAAAACATAACGTTCTGCAGTTTATTTACTAATTGTTTAAGGCCATTTCGCGATTTCAATCATCATACAGTAACCAGCAACAATCACCCCGTTCTCTTCACATCGAAGACATGTGATGCAGTCCTAAACAGTCTCTCGCTGTAGGTGCTTGAAATGATTTTTACATCTTTCTCAGACAGTTTTAAATGCTTCCACACTGCTGACATGTTTGTTGCATTGCACCTCTCACTCTACTCTGGTTGCTATTTGATAGCATCACGTCATTGTTCGGTACAATGTATTCGGTCTTTTCGCTTATTCGGCCGAACACCGAAAGAGCTTTTTTTGCTATTTTCAGCCGAATAATTTCGGTTACCGAACATTCGGTGCATCCCTATTTAAATGTATGGGTCGGTAAGTTGTTTTTGAAAGAAGTCTCTTATGCTCACCAGGCTGCATTTATTTGATCAAAAATGCAGTAAAAATCATGTCTGTTTCCCATCATCCTTCAGAAATCAGTCTAATATGCTGATTAGTGCTCAAGAAACATTTCCTATTATTATGAATGTTGAAAACAGTTGTTCTGCTTAATATTTTAGTGGAAAACGTAATACATTTTTTTCAGGATTCTTTGATGAATAGAAAGCTCAAAAGAACAGGATTTGAAACAGAAATAATTTGTAACATAATAAATGTCTTTACTGTCACTTTTGATCAATTTAATGCATCCTTGCTGAATAAAATTATTCATTTATTAAAAAAAAAATCATACTGATTTTGAATGGCAGTGTGTATCTTCATAAAAATGTTTCAGCTCCATTTCCTTCAAAGAGAAAATAGTGATGTAATGAGGTTGTTTATTGTATTGACATACCTTTTAGCTGGCTAAGTTATTTCTAACTTGAAAACTATTCAGTGAAGCAGTCAAACCAGTTATAAAAAACAAGCATGGTGTGTAGCTGTTAGGTGTATACATAGAAGTCATTTAGGGACAAAAGTCTTTTTTAGCTGCTATTTTTTTATTGCATACATTTTGTGAGAATCGTGGCCCTAATGCTTCTATTCACTGTCATCAGCAACTTTTATAACTGGATAACTTCTTAGTACTTTGCACTATATGCATGCCCTATTGTGTACATGTAAAAACCAAAGTACACTTTGGGCTTCAGTTATTGAACTTAGCTTTGTGCACTGAGTGATATTACGACAGCATTTTGGATGTAGGCTTAGATATTCGTCAGCGAATTGTGAGGTTACACTAGATGAGCAAGATCTGACCTTTCTCAATTTGATGAGGTCTTCATCACCTCGACATATAAATTAGACATTTTAAACGCCACTGCTTACCAGGAAAAGCTGTTAATATTTGGTTGAGCGAAGTCCACATTCGTGCAAGAAAGAATTAGTTTAAAAAAGGGATAGGTCACCCAAAAATGAACATTCTGTCATCATTTACTCACCCTCATGTAGTTCTGAAACCTATGATTTTACCTTTTCTCTGGAACATAAGATATTTTAAAGAACAGTGGTTTCGAAAAAATATCTTTTATTGTCCACAAAGAAAGAAAGTCATACAGGTTTGGAATGACATGAGGGTGAGTAAAAGATGACAGAATAATAATTGGTGAACTATCCCTTTAAGATGATAAATGCCAAAAACATAGACACACACATAAATGGAAACTAAGGATTTGAGGTGGATCTAATTGTACAAGAGAGAGTTCAGTTAAAGAACGAGAGGCTTTCAGGCAGGCGAAGTTACTGAGAGCCTGACTGCAGCCTCAGGAGGAGAAGGAGGGCAGCGCAGGGAGGGGAAATGGAGATGGATTTCCCGTAAATCAGCTCTATCCTATCAGAGCGCAGCCACTCTCAACATGGCAGAGCGCCAGCAGGATCAACCGTTAGAGGTGTAGCTGACTAAAAGAGAGAGAGGAGGGACCGGCTGTGATAGTGTTAGTAAACGACTATTTGGATCACATCATACAAGATCTCACACGCTTTGCTCTGTGCATTTGAAGCTGTATTTAAAAAGCGGTATATTTTCTTCTCTCTCTTTTGCTTTTTCTTGTGAGCCTGATTAAAATGGGTGAGTTTTGCTAATGAATGCAGATGGCTGTACTGTAATGGAAAGGACAGTAAGCACTGCCGGTCTCATGATGTCAGTCTCTGCTGGGGTCTCATGTGATCATGCGGTGTGAAACTGCTCTCAGTGTGAGGAACTACAGGCTGCTCAACTGCAGGACTTTCTTGCAACATTTTTCCATTGCTCATGTATGGAGTGCTGTCAGATGGATTTTTATCTTCCCACAGTGCTGTGAGTGCTCTCTGAAGTCATTTTGATGATGTAACAGCTTCTCCTTTAGCTATTAAAATGGAGGATTTGGCTCCTTGCAGCTAATAAGCCTTTGGCAGTGTCTACACGGATGACGTTGGTTTTAGATGGAGGCCTGTTTTCTCTTAGTGTAGAGGTATAAGAGAGAGAGAGGGAAAGGGAGAGTGTGGGACAGATTAACTGGGGTCATATAAAGGCTCACTGATGCAACATGCTGTAACTGTGTGAGACCTTGCAGAGTTTCTCCAGGCTGTGCAGATCTTTCCAGCTGAACAGAAGAAAAAGACTTGCTTGGTCAGATTTTAGAGTATTCATATCATGAAAAGCCTTAAGGAATAATTATCTCACTACAAATAAATGACATTTTTCAATTTGCATATTTGATGCATTTTATAAACGCAGTATTACTTAGCTAAATGATTGTGCAGTTATAAAAGCTAGAAAGAAGAAAATGTGGTTGTTGTTTGCAGGGCCTGCCGCCACAATGCTAGAGTGATGTGGGCGGCTGCTAGTGTGGTTGCAAAGGTGCTCTTGGCCTCTGTGCAATTTTGTGAGTGATTTCAGCTTGTTTCTTTGCAGTTGCTAAGGTGTTCTGAGCAGTTTTAACTTGTGGCTATTAGGGTTGGGCCGATAGACGATGCCATCGTCCATCGCCGATGGTTGACAGACATCACGATGTTAAGCTGACATCGTTATTCCTTCCCCCCCCCCCCCCTCTTCCGCAATCCGCCGCATCCCAGTTCCGTGTTCGGAAAGGAAATGAAGTGTACTACGGAAACCCTAAAGGGAATAAATAGCCTACGAGATGGGAGGATAAAAAAAAAAGTCAATACTTTTTCTCGCAATTATATCGTTGGTTAAGTATGGGCGACTGTATATAAATTGCGGACATCAGGGAGCCGCTATTGAAACCGCTTTCGATTGCGCGCTCTCATTTTACTTTCACTTTCACTTTTGAGATTCGCGATCACAAGGACTCTATACTATGGAGCGGGAGTACTTACCACACATTTGACAAGATTAGATGTTTGTCATTGGTGCTAAGGATCTGCAAATAAATCGCCATCGTCCTATCAGACATTTCTCCTTAATCGGTATATGTGGTAAGTGAACTTTCATGTACTGTAATGCAACAGGCTACCGCTAGCAAGCGGCTAACCTTTTAGTGGCACCGTATAACGCGTTATTTGTTTCACGCTTCGGGCACACCCCTAATCCCTTTTATTCTCGCTGTAGTATTGTTGTTGCCGCCACCACCATGTCGTGAAGACGCTGTGTGTTTCATTGTGAAAGCGAAACTACTT